TCATGTTGTGATGGTGTCCCGGTCCTGTTTTGATGGTGTCCCGGTAATGTTTTGATGGTGTCCCGGTCATGTTGTGATAGTGTCCCGGTCATGTTTTGATGGTGTCCCGGTCGTGTTGTGACGGTGTCCCGGTCATGTTTTGATGGTGTCCCGGTCCTGTTGTGCATGTTTTGGCGGTGTGCCGGTTATGTTTTGATGGTGTCCGGGTCATGTGACGGTGTCCCGGTCATGTTGTGATTGTGTCCTGGTCATCTTGTGATGGTTTTCCCGTCATGTCATGTTGGTGTCCCGGTCACCTTGTGATGGTGTCCCCGTCATGTTGTGCTTGTGTCCCAGTCATGTTGTGACGGTGTCCCAGTCATGTTGTGATGGTGTCTCGCTCATGTTGTGACGGTGTCCCGGTCATGTTTTGATGGTGTCCCGGTCATGTTGTGATGGTGTCCTGGTCATGTTTTGGCGGTGTGCCGGTTATGTTTTGATGGTGTCTGGGTCATGTGACGGTGTCCCGGTCATGTTGTGATAGTGTCCCGGTCATGTTGTGATGGTGTCCCCGTCATGTCATGCTGGTGTCCCGGTCACCTTGTGATGGTGTCCCGGTTATGTTGTGATGGTGTCCCAATCATGTTGTGACGGTGTCTCGGTCATGTTTTGATGGTGCCCTGGTCATTTTGTGAAGGTGTCCCGGTTATGTGATCACGAAAGCTAGCCTTAGCTAGCTGGAGTTGCTCTTGCTTTAGCAAGTTAAGTGACGGGGTGGACGCACCTCAGAAACCTCAAATAATTGATTAAATCAATCTTATGGACCCCCCCCCCCCCGCGGTTCGACTCCCCCCTGCGCGCGGTGAGCGGGACCACCAAGCAGCTGCAGCACACCAAGCATCTGCAGCGCCCAGCGCAGCAGCGGCAACAGCAGCAGCAGCACCAGCAGCAGCAGCAGACCACCCAGCGGCGGCAGCAGCAGCAGCAGCAGCATACCCAACGCCGCGGCAGCAGCAGCCGCAGCAGACCACCCAGCGCCAGCAGCAGCAGCAGCAGCAGCAGACGACCCGGCGCCTGCAGAGCACCCAGCGCAGCAGCGCCCAGCGCAGCAGCGGCAGCAGCAGCACCAGCAGCAGCAGCACCAGCAGCAGACCACCGGAAGCCCGGCTAGCTTTCGTTCACCCCCTCTGGCCTCAAGTGATGGTGTCCAAGGAAGAGATGGTCGATGTGTTGAAAACAGCAGCTGTTTCCAGATTTTTCTTTTTGTCTCGGTTTGTATCTTGCTATTGGGGTCTCCAGCTGGGCTAATTCATCACCCCCTCCTCCAGTTGAAGTGAAGCAACCTCGTCATATTCAGGGAGCTACACAAAGGAAGGAGCTGTCCAGGAGACCCCTTTTCCCCTTCATCTTCGCGCGACGGAGCGACTCTTCAGCGGGTCACGGTCCGGCATCGATGGGACGGTGCCACCGGATCGATGGGTTTGGCGGTTTGGAGCACGCGATGTTCGCTGAAGCACCAACCAAAAACGACAGAGACCTGGACCTGAAAAAGGGGTGTCCTGGCTGGAGGTCCCTGATCGTAGTGGGCTGGGGCTTCCTTTTTAGACCCCCTTTTGAAGGTGGTATGTGAAGATCATGCCATCATCCAGAATTCATGCCACCGCGCCTTTTTGAGATTTTTTGAGGTGATTCACGCGCGGCATGTCCGGGATGGGCCAGTCGCGCGACTCCGGATCCTTCGGCTCGCGTGAGGCTCCGCTTTCATGCCGTCCTTTCTATCAGCTCCCTACACTCTTCACACTCTTCACTCTCAAACACTCACTGCTCCATTGGCCCGACTGGCTGCACGTCCGGGCATCTCCCACACCTAGGTGCCCCTGCCATGGCTCCGAGTATGACGAGCAAGGGCAAGTGATCAAGGGGCGCCTTGGCTGAAGGGGATTGTTTTGTCAAGATATGGGGGTTGCGACGGAAGAAGGGCTCGAAATTCAGATCAGCTAAAATGTCGTGCTATATATATATAATATTATATACAGTTATACAGTATACATATATATATATATGTTTCAACTGGCGCCATCGCGCACATTTTCATTCCACCTTCAGCATTTCAGAGTCTCAGGCGCCCCAAATGCTATGGCCCTGCTGTTTGAGAGGGCATTTGTTTGGAACTGTGACACCGTGCCCAGTCGAGCGGTCTGGTCGAGCGGTTCGGTGTGTCCTGGAACGCTTGAGTGGACTTCCAAGTGGTTCAGCTCCAGTTGTGGAGCTTGGCTCTTAGTTCCAGGGTTCAGGAGTGAGTTAACTGGCTAGATCATTCCACAGTTGTGCATGGTCCAGCTTGGTAGGGATAGATGGATCGATCGACAGATAGATCGATATACACATGCACAATCATGCACATGCATGACACACACACACAAATAGACCTGGCGCATGCATCTCTCAAGTCCCAAACGGGTCTGGCCAGGCTAAGGTCTCCCCATGCCGGCCTGCCGCTCCGTGGGTAGCGGCCCGCCCAGGCCAGCGCCAAAGAGTCTGTCCTTGGCGCATGTGGATTTGACCGAGAGCCAGAAGGACGCGGTGGGCGAGCGTGGTGGGCGCCCGGTCGCGGTGGGCGGTTGGAGAGAGATTGACCAGCAGAGTGTTTAAATGAGAACCCCGAGAGAGACATCCATTCGAAGTTGGAAGAGGCTTTACAATCCAGATGAGGTGATTTTATTGATCAGCAGTCTACTTTTCAACTCACTTCAGCTCTTTGTTGTTCCATTTGGTGGTGGTGGCGGTGGCAAGTCTTCCGTTTGGGATGCATCCGACCGAGCCATTGAACTAAGTGGAATGGTTCACGGTTCCTGGCCTTGACCTCTAAGGGGCTACAAGAAAGAGACCCCCCACCTGGTACAAGTACAGAGCTGGTGTCCCATGTAGGTCTTTGCAACGTTGCTACCATTTACGACCTGTCACCCGAAGTGCTTATGCTGCGCCTGTCGGCAGCATGGAATCTGCATCGGGGCAGCATGTTCAGCATCTCGAGGCATCTCGAGGCATTGGCTCAAGCCAGACATTTCGTTCGGGATGGGGGCGGGCCGCTCGCAGCGCGACACGTCCGTCCAGGGCATCCGTTGCCATGGCCCACCCTCACCCCACCGATGCCTATGCCCTCGCGCCTCATCCCACAGACGCCTATCGCCGAGCATATCCATCATCGGCACCCCCACCTCCGGGTGATTATGGCTATGGTTACAGCTACCCTCCTCCGCCAGCCTATGGCTACCCTCCTCCTCAGCACCCACCACCAGGTTATGGCTACCCACCACCCGGGCCACCAGGCCATCATCCCCCACCGCCGGGCTATGGCTACCCACCACCCGGCTATCCACCACCTGGCTATCCGCCGCCAGGCTACCCACCTCCGAGCTACTGGCCACCACCCCCAGGAGCCTATGGCGGGGGCTACGGTCGTGAACCCTCCAGGAGCAGATCTCCACGGCGGGAGGGGAAGTACACCTGTCGCTTCTTCATTGGCATCGAGAACGACAACAAGTTCAAGGTGGCCAAGCGGATCATCGGGGGCAACGGTGCCAACATGAAGGAGATCGTGCGGAAATCCGGCGACGTCGCCAAGCTGCGTTTGCGGGGCAAGGGCTCGGGCTTCGCAGAGAGAGACACCGGCGAGGAGTCACCCGAGCCACTGCAGCTGTGCATCTCCTGCCCGACTCAACGCGGCTACGACATTGCGCGAAAATGCGCCGAGGAGCTGTTGTTGAGAGTCTATGATGAATATGAAGACTATTGCTCGGAGAAGGGCTTGGAAGTTGAGCTGCCAACCATCAAGATGACTGAGCGGCATATGAGTGGAGACACTGGGGGGGCGCAAGGCAGCGGTGCCGGGCGGAAAGGGAACCGGCGCGAGCGCAAGAAGCCCAAGGCGGCCGCGAAGCCCAAGGAGGAGGATCACGGCGAGCGGCCCGAGGGTGCCCCAGGCGTGGAGGAGATCGAGGAACTCATCTCCGAGCGGAATGCCTGCCGCAAGCGGGGCGAGTACAGCAAGGCGGACGAGATTCGGGACGATTTGAAGGAGCGGGGCGTGGTGCTGAGCGATGAGAAGGGCGCCCATGGGGAAGGCTTGAACGTCACGTCCTGGAGGTATTGGCACGACTGAGAGGTGAGAGAGGTGGATCGGCCACGAGTGAATGGAAAAGGAACCGCGGACCGCGCACCTCGCTGCGCTGCGGCTTGGGTGAAGCTGGGGGAAGTGGCCACGTCGAGGTTCGCACCAAACTTTGGGCAAAAGAGGCCTCCTTTTTGCACGGTGACACGGAGAGAAGCATACTATTGGACCCCACGAGGCGTGTCTATTGATGATCTCTGAAAAGAGGTTAAGGGGTGTTTCTTTATAATGCCTTGGGGGTCCTGGTAGTGATCCGTTTGATCATTGAAGAGGTTTGGGGTGACGAACTTCGCTTCTGGGGCGGGGAAGGCCATCTGATAGCCGGATTTGAGATGATTTTAGCAATGTATCCCACCTTGAAGTTTCGCCACTTCAGGGAACAGCTGCTTCGGCCCCCCAGCTCTTTCGCCGAGCTGCAGTTGAAGCACCCCCATCCTCCCCACACGGTGCGTCCACCGCCTGTGGTCTTTCAGATTCAAGCATTGTTTTTGGCTCGCCAGGTGAAGTTAAGTTATTGGAGTGAGGAAGACTTCAGGGATGGCTCTGAGCCCTGGTCCGGGCACCCAGGGCGCCCAGGGCGCGGGACGTGAGAGAAGAGAAAGGATGAACGATTTATGGCTTGGGAGAGCCATGGCTTTGGAAGAAAGCACTTACACTCCCTGGTTTCCCTTTGCGGCTGCTAGGACGAGCTCTGCAGAACCGGAGCCTGACTCACGCAAAATTTAAGAAGGCACACCGATTTTCCTCCATCCAATATGTTTTTGTGGGGAATCCTTTGTTTGTTCTTCTTCCCATGCAGCCAGCCAGGTGGGTAGCGTGAGCGCTTGGAGTTGGAGAAAGCGCGGGCGTCTCACAGGTGGAGAACGGTGGTCTCACAGGTGAAAACCATCGAAACAGGAAGCACTCTGGAAAGTCAGATCAAGACTCAAGACACATCCTTGGAGTTGATTTTGGTGAACATCACTGCTCAAGTCTGCATCTTGTAAGATGTAAAGCAAGAGACACACACACACACATATATATATATATAGATATTATGACTTTATAGATATGTCAAGCCTGGATGATTTTATAGATATGTGTGCACTCCCCTAAACCTATGTCTTTCCAAACCATGCAGGGGAAAAACGACCTTTGATGCACCGAGTGGAAGTGTTTTTCTTTTTTTTTGTCCGGTGAACATTTCTATGAGCTGCAGGCTCATCCACCAAGCTTTTAGGGTCAAGACCCATCCACAGACATCCACAGACAGGATTGACACGAAGTGGGGAACAGCCACAAAGCTGCAAAACATCCCAATGTGTCCATAGGAGTTCTTGGGCCTGTGGCAGCGCAGGCGAATTGCATTTAGGTTGAGATCTCGTCAACTCCACCAGGGACGACGTTTCGCTGAGAACTGTTTAATCACCTTCAATTTGAGAGATGTGATTCGCCAGACCACGTGGTCGCGACGTTTCGGGTTCCACGTCCAAACTCGGAGCGAAGGGCGCCGGAAAAAAGGGCCTCCGGTTTTGGTGTCGGGGCGACTGTTGGGATACTCCAACGTGACTGATGGGCGACTGGATGGCATGGCCCCGAAGACTCGACCATGTTCCGAAGACCTCCACTTCCAGGGGTGAGCCCACTTATCCATGTTTGTTGGAGGGCGTGAGTGTCGTTGAGATGATCCATTTAAGTTGGGTCGGTCCTATTACCTGTAACAGTCAATTATCACTATGTTTGAGAAAGACCTTTGCTAAGCATCATGATCCACTGTGACTGGCAATGGGATAGACTGATAGACCCAACATTTAAGTCTACCTGGCATACCAAGTTACTGTATGGGTCAATGGATTGTTTACGAGTCTCTGCCATAGGGGTCACAGCCGTGTCGGTTCTAGGGGTGCTGTAGTGGCACCTCGCACATGAGCAGAAGGTTGATTTGGGTCATGCGCTGCTGCTGATATTGTGGTGGCCCCCAGATTGAAGCAACATGGAACAACATGGAACAATGTACACAAGCTCAATTGGGAGTCATTCGACAAACCTGTGAGGATCTCTCCACTCCAAATACGGATCCAGGTGCTTCACCAGGCTCCCTCCAAATCGCAGCTCCGCAGCCGCCAGCAGTTCGAAGACGGAAGATCGCGGGCGCGGGTGACGGAAAAGAGCGCGCCAGCGCGTAACCTGTCTTGGACCTTTTTCTGCGCGAAGAAATCCGTGCAGAAAGAACCTCCCGTCGCATAGGCGACGTGGTGCCAAGGGGTTGCCGATGTGGGTGGGCAGGAGAGCTGGGTTTTGTGGCATTTGACGTGGGCATTGGAGCTATGACCCATACAGTAGCATCCAAGAACCTCTATTGTGATCCCTTAAATAGATAGTGGCAAGGTTTCCAATACATTTTTACTTTAGTGACTTTAGTGGAGATTTACTTTTCTATTTGTTTGGGGGTTCTCTCTTTTTGTAAAATGGATGGTTTAGTTACAGTGGAGTGGGGAGTAACAAGCTGTCAGAGTCCGCACTCAGACCTGGCGTCCGTTGGGACGCCGTGGTTTCACGGGGTTTTCACGGGGTTTTCAGGGGAAAACGCATCGAACATGCACTCCCCGGAGCCGGACAATGGAAGTGCACAATGCCCTGGGAGTCAAGTCGACTATAAAAAGAATGGTCTTTAGGTGACCCAAGTCGAGGAGTTTCCTGTACTTCAGTCGGTCAAAGTATAGACTTTGGACTTCTCGGGAATGGTTCTTGAATGGCCCCGAAGACTCGGAAGACCATGTTCCGAAGACCTCCACTTCCAGGGAGCTCCACTTAACCATGTTTGATCCAGGGGGAGTAGGTAGTATAATGCATAATGGTTGTTTTTTTTGTACCAGCTTTTGGCCTCATCCCTCTTGATTGGACTCCATCCATTGCCAGGTCGTGATGGGCTGGGGCGGCTGGGGAAAAGAGGGCGGCTGGGGCAAAGGAGGTGAGAAGGGCGGCAAAGGCGGCTGGTCCCCATGGCAGCCCATGTGTCTCAGCTGCACTCCCTTCGATCCAACGTCGGCCGCTGGTGGGTGGAAAGGACCTCCTCCTGTTGCTCCATACTGTTCCGAAGCCAAGTGTCGGAGCTGGCCCGGCAAAATCTCCTCAGGATGACTTGGAATGGTTTGAATCTGTGTGTCATCGAGGAACTGAAGAAGTGCACCTGTCGGGTGCGCTTGACGAGGGTCCGCTCCAATGGCCACCTGTCGTTGGCGCCGGCTGAGGTTCATGAAGTGGGGCATGAAGGGCAAAGGCTGGGGGAAGGCAGGAAGGTTTGATTCGGGGGAAGTGTTGACCCGCACCAGGTGGACGAGCATGCGCTGACAGTGGAGGTTTCTGGACATCTATTGAGCTATGGCGAAGCCCTAGGAGTCCAAAGACTATACTTTTCCTGAAGTGAAGTAAAAAGAAGTTCCCTCTCAGGTCCCCTAAAGACAATTCTTGTTTTAGTCCTTACTGTAACTCCCAGGGTATGGATTGTTCACACAGGTTTTGGTGTGGGAGTTCAATCTCCGCACCCTCCGTTGACTTGAGCCTTTCCTGCGAAAAGTGCGCGCACTTTTGAGCCAAGATCCAACAAGGGATGAACAAATGAATAATTAAGGAGGACAGCATAAAAGAAGCCACACACCTATATAATACTGTACAAATATAATATATTATATATTATGCGTATATGTATGTAGTATTATCCACGCGTGATGGACAGACGGCCGTGGTGGTTCGTGCCTGTCTGACACCATTTCGTATGTATTTGAAAGTATTTTTATAGTTTCCTGGAGAAGTTGTGAGTTACGAAAGCCAGCCTTCGTAGACGGCGCCAGCTGAGTTGTGTTTGGCGAACGAAGTGAGTAAGTAGGGGGTCTGGGGGGGCTGGCCCGAGAAAGCACTAGGTAAACTCGAAATTAGGTGGTGGAGAGGGGTGTGCCGAAGGTTTTTGAGGTTGTGTTGGACAGTTGGAGGTGAGTTTTTGTGATTTTTGAGGGGGTGGTGATGCAAGAAATGCAATTTGCATCATTTGCATCACCTGAACGGCGAGGTGTAGTTTTACAGAGGCCGATGTGTTGGAGCTTCGTGCAGCTGTGAATGCATAACCTTCTTACACACCTATATAAGTTCAAAGCACAAGTGAGTCTTCAAATCCGTGGATTGCTGCACGTTTCTCAAGGTTATCTAGCGGTTGACGGAAAGGGAAATTGAAGTGCTACACCTGGCAACTGAATTATAGCTACCCTGGGTCCGTATAAATGCTATGTTGCTATACCTCTTGCACACCTATATAAGTTCAAAGCACGAATGAGACTTCAAAGCTGTGGATTGCTGCACGTGTGTAAAGGTTATTGAGCAGCTGACGGAAAGGGAACTCGAAGTACTTTACCTGGTAACTGAATTGTAGCTACCCTGGGTATCTATACGGTGCACGGAAGCAAGGTTTTGGAGGTGTGTTTTTGTGACTTGAAGAAATGCAATTGTCTTCGGTTGCTTGTAGTGCCTTACTTGGCAACTGAATTGTAGCCACCCTGGGTATACCTGGCAACTGCCTTGTAGCTGTGCTGGGTCTGCGCGCGCGCCTAAATCTAGGGCAGCCGGGAGCCAGCAAGGCGCGGGCACGCGTGCGGACCCAGGGTAGGGAAATTGAAGTGCGACACCTGGCAACAGAATTGTAGCTACCCTGGGTCCGTATAACTGCTATGTTGCTATACCTCTTGCACACCTATATAAGTTCAAAGCACGAATGAGACTTCAAAGCTGTGGGTTGCTGTGCGTGTGTAAAGGTTATCGAACGGTTGACGGAAACCAACTCGAAGTGCTATACCTGGCAACTGAATTGTAGCACCCTGGGTACCTATACCTGGCAAGGCGCCAGCTGAGTAAGAAGGGGGTTTCGGGGGGGTGGCCTGAGAAAGCACACTCGAAAGTAGGTGGTGTGTAGGGGTGCACGAAAGTAGGTGGTGTGGGACGTGTTCTTTTGTGAAAAACGACGGCTTTCGTTTTGCAGTTTCTCAGGTTGTATGTGTTCTTTTTTGCTTTCTTTCATGTGAGCAGGGGTGGTGTTAAAGTTCATGTGGCCCAGCGTAGCATCAACGGTGTTTGCAAGTTCACGCGGCCGTTTACCCACCCCACCCCTTTCAGATGCGATCAGCGGAAACGCCGTGGCCGTCCCGGTTCCTTAGCGCGCCCCCCCCCCTCCCCCGAGTTTGGCGGTCGGGTCCGAGCGTTGAGTGAGTGAGACGCGCGCGGTGGCAAATCCCAAAAGGTCTCTCCCATTTTCTGTGTGTATGTATAAAATATTCTTGTTATGCAATTCTGAAATTCATTGCAAAGGTCTCATATGTGTTTTGTTGCTGTTGGGGATGTTCGATTATTCTTTGGGCTCCAAACTTTTCTAGGTTGGGTGGTGTTCTTCCACGACCACGATGTTTTTTCTCGTCTCCTTCGCGGTGAGGGCAGCAAGGGCCTGAAGGTGGATCCAGCCTTGAAATGTTGGATCGGCAACCTGCCCGAGGGCACCTCGTGGAAAGCCTTGCAGGCGGGAAGAGGGCAGGTCGATCGGGCGGAAGGTCGATGCCAGACTGGATCGATGTGAGGGGTTTTGATGGTGGAGGAGACCAGAAGTGGTGAAGTATTGAAGTGGATTCTAGATTCATGTGCAGATCTGAAGGGGGGGATGTGTTCGGATCCCAGTGATGACACGCACCAGCTCAACATCAACACTCGTGCGGACAGCTGGAAGCATCGCTGGTAGATGTTCTTTCCATCTAGATCTGGCCCCTGGCCATCATGCTGCACACTCGGGCGCCTGTGCGGCACATGAGCAGCACCTGTCATGGGATTTTTCCCCTTCAGTGCTAGATTTTGAAGACGAACTTGGGTCGACCCTGTTGATAAAAAAAACGTATCCGTCTTTGATCGTTCCACCACTGGAGTCATGGCCGGAATCATGGCATGAGTCATGCTTCAGGGTACACTCCTGGACACTCAGTCCCAACCGGAAACAAATGGTTGGAACCCAATTATGGCTTGCTTGAGATCATTTCCACAGGAAGTGGCTGGAGCTCGGGGAGCCATCCAGATTTGTTTCTGCTTGGGGTGGCCCCGGGTGTTCCAGTATCTTCTTGGAGGACCCTCTTTTGGGACACTGCTCCAGCCCCAGCGCCCCGAAGCGCCCCGAATGCAGGAGCATATGAACCAGGCCAGATGGAGCTGGACACCGCTGACAGGGGCTGTGATGGACACCGTTGCTGAGGATGTGGTTGGTTGTTTCCAAAGGTTTTTGGTCAAAGGTTTTTTTGGAAGGGTTTTTATAGTTTGGTCTTCCATGTTCCATGGATTTTCAGGTTGCTACATGACTGTCTATGTGGGATGGCTCAGGCTCAAGTTGTGAATGATGAGGTGCCTAGTGTCCGCTTGAAAGATCTTCCCAGACTCAAGACTCACTCGAGGCAAGCACAAGGAGAAGGGATACCAGGAGCCTTGAGACTGCATCGAAGGATTGTGCTGCACATGTTCCAATTACGGTGCGCGCTTTATTCAATGACCATCGGACTTCGTTTGTTCTGGGGCCCTTTCTTTGTGAAGGGAGCAGCAGCGAGGCAGCTTGCAGATCTTCCAGTGGCCTCAGATAAGCAATCGCAACACAGGTACATATAACTGTGATAGGGGAAATGCTCCTCCCAGTGCTGCTCATCACGCTTGTTGGATCAGAGCATTGGCCAATATGGCTGGCAAGCAGGAATGTGAACAATACTTGATGCCTGTTGTGCTCAAGAATCTCATGCCCACACCTTTTTCGGTTAGCTCCGCGTTGGACTTCCTTCGGCTCGGCTTTGAGACCAATTTTTGGGGGTTGGCCTGCCCTGTTCATTGTGGCACTCCCTCCATTGCCACGATTTCTCTTGCTTTCATCTCTGGATTTGGCTTTGGATTTGGGTCTGGCTTGATCCTGCTTCTGTTTTTGGCCTTCCGACTAGGTCTCCTCTCTCACTCTTGGGGACCTTTCCCTGCAAGCACCCCTCGAGCTCAGCAGAGCTCCTCTCCAGGCCTGACTCGAATTCAGGCCTATTTGTATGAGTGATCAGCAGGTTGAGTTGCTCCAACTTCAGGTGCAGCAACTGTTGATTAGAGTGGAGATCTTGGAGAGGAGGGTTGGAGAATTGGAGAGAGGTGAACAGCACGGCGCGGCCTCAGACTTTGAATTGGTCTCCGCCCGAAATCGGCCTTCGAGCCCCACCAGGACTACATCAAGCTCGTCATCCACCTATAACTCCTTGGCTTTGGAGATTCCTGAGGTGTCTGGTGAAGCTCTTCGTTTGTGTGGCAATCTTCGTGGAGGGAAATTGTCCTTTAAGCAGCGAGCAGAAAGGGCTTGGTCCGCTGGTTGGTGGGCTCGCTTCGTCCTCGAGGGCCGTGTCTCGAAGCCCCGCCCAAGCACGCCCTGTGATCTTGCCAATACCACTTACGTGGTCATCAGGGCATCTGGCATCAGTGAGCCAGTTCGAGTCGAGAAGGCTGCAGACTACAGAGCACTTCTTGGGGACTTTACAGGATCTACCTCGACGAGCCTGTCGCACGGATTTGCATCCAAGGCTGAGGCGAAGGTGTACTGTCTGGGAGCCAATATCCCTTACCCTGAGAGGCTCTATCAATGGAGCTAGATGCAGTCATCCCATTGGTGGAGGAGAATGTGGAATTATTCCGGATTTTCTGGCCTCCGGACCCAAACTTGGTTCAGGCCAGGGCTGGAATTTGCATGGTCGTTATGGTGAGAAGAGCAGCTGGAGGAGGGTTGCTGGTCGCTTTGCCTTCCGCCCTGGTCCCAGCAGGATCTTTGCCTGTGGAGCCGATGGAAACGGATGTTATTGGGCCCCACACTCATTTGGAGGTGCCAGGAGTTCGCATGACGAATTCAGCTACAGAGGCTTTGGGCATCGACCTGGGACTTCATGTCGTAGACCTGGGTCAGCCTGCACTTCAAGCTATCACTCCTTTGGCTCTTCTCCCAGAGTCCGAAGATCAGGGGCTGATTGGTTTTGGAGAAGACCTGGATATCATTCCCGACCCGTTTGTCCTGGTCGAGATGGTCAGAGAGTGGTTGGGTTCACATGCCAGCAATCTGGTGGCCTTCTACTCCGCGGAAGAAGGAGAGGTCATCGAGGACGACGAGGTACACGCTCTGCCGCTGCCGGCTCGAACTGGTCAAGCCCGGACAATGACGCCGGATACTCCAAAAGCCAAGCCAAAGGAGCCTGCAAAGAAGAGGGTTACGACTGCTGTCCTCTCGGAGCAGCTGAGCAGTCTGATGGACTTGATTCCCTCAATGACGAATCAAATATCAGACCTGCAAAAGGGCCAGTTGGAGCTGCAGGAGTCCCTAGCTATTCAGAAAGCATCGCTCACTGCAGCAGTTCAGGGGGCGGCAAACTTTGCAAAGATGGTGGGCCCGCCTCCAAGGACAAAGCAGCTGCCTCAGCCGTCTCCAACACTGGCTATTCCCAATTCTGGCTTAGATGCAAATCTGAGTCGGCAGGAGTTGGCGGAGGAGACAAGTCCGGTGGCTCATGCAGATCCTTTTGCACGAGCAATGCTGGAACAGAGCAAGGCCATCATGAGTCTGGTTGCACATATGCAGCAGGGAGGAGATCCACTTCTGGACGGGCAGGCTTCCTCATCATCTATGGGGCGAGGAAAGTTGCAAAAGGACTTGGCCTCGAAATCCGGAGGTTTTTATCTTGCTGTGCTGCAAAATGCTGTGAAGCGACTCAGGCCAGCCCATCCCAGACCGAGCAGTGTGGAGGAAGTGGCCTCAACGGATTTCTCGATGATCCAATACCTGGAACGATTCGGAGGCTACGGACAATTCAAAGAGTTGGGGTTGATCCAATATGCCCTTGCTCACATTTTCGATGCTCTTGCCCACTCGGACCTGAATGGGGCACGCGACTATCTGGCGTTGTTGATGGTTGGAGTCGATCAGGCCAATTTGGATGGCAACAGGTGGGAGCTGGCATATCGGATGATGCTGTTGGAGGAGCCGCCCTCTCAGCTATGGAGCTACAGAAATCAGAGCTTCGATCCACGGGCCAAGAGCTTCTCGGCCCTAGCCCCTCAAAATTGGACCACTGTTGCCTTGGCCTACTCCAAAGAAATGGACTATATCCAGACCAAACGCTTAGAAGTCACTCAACCAAAGGGAGGGCAAGCCTCAAATCAACAACAGGGCCAGAATACCCAGTTGAAGAAGAAGGGTCGCTTTCCAAAGGCAAAAGCGACCTCAAGCCAGGAGCATGCGGCCTCCTAGTCTCGCATGGCCCTAGTGGCCCAGGCTCCCCTCCCAGTACCCTTTCAAGTGCTCTCTTGCCGAGCTCTTCTATGTCAGAGCGCCTCGGCGCTTTACACGGTCGGAGAGCCTTGGAAAGGGGAAGTGAGGATGAGAGACAGGGTGGCTCAGACTATGAGGGCTCGGATAGCCCGGCCGAGGCTTTTGATGGATCAGAGGCAGACTATGATGGCATGCCTTTTGAACGCACAGGGCGCATGCCAGCTGCCGATGGTGGTGTTTCTGGAACCAGTCACTGTCTTGGACCCAACGATGATGTGGGCCTGCAGGATAGCGGTGTTCCTGAACTGGGCAAGAGAGAATTAGATGCAAGGGGCCTTAGGTGCGGGCCGGATCTGGAGTTGATGACTCAGATCCCGTTTCATTGCTGGGTTCATCAGTTTGTGAGACAGGTGCTCGCTTCCAAGACCAGGTTTTCTTATTTCGTGATGAGATCTATTTCAGCCTGCCGCAGTGGTCGTGATGACATCACTGCAACCGCCTTGTATCCCATCCCCTTCCCTTTCGAGGATGCTTTTGGAGATGGCCTGGGTTCGAGTAGCAAGAAGAGGAGGAGGTCAAAGGCTCTTCATCGGCGGATGCATTTGACCATCATGGCTCTGAACTATGAGCACTTTAGACATCCTATGTCGATCTTGCAGCTCATCCGGAGACGTCCTTCGGTGGCTCACAAAGGGGTGTTCAACCGGATATGGATGTTTTTCAAGGCGAGCGGCCCTCCAGCTTTTGTGTCAGTGGCTGGATGTGGACGGAAGAGTTTTCAATTAGGTGCAAGGATGAGGGAGATTGTTTTGGCTTTGGAAAACCTCGGCCTCAATCCTTCCTCTCTTTACCATCATGAGGCGGCCCGAAAAGAAGTTCCAATGAACAATGATGTTTATGAGGAGCTTCGACCATATCGGCCGCTTGATGCAGCTCGGATCAAGCTCACTGGCACCGGCAGCTGGGAGTGCGCCAATTATCTCTCAGATCTTCTTTACATGCCTTTTGTTGAGCCCGAGTCAATTCGCTTTGACATTGCTCCTCCTTCTGGATCCTACCCCAACGTGCTGGAGGGAGATCTGGAGCAAGTGTCCAAGCTATGTCGAGTGTGGGACTCTCGTGGTCTGTTGAGGCTCATTCCCACATCTTTGGGCCCAAAGAATGACCAGAACTTGCTACACTCCAAAGTTTTTGGCAACTACAAGAACGTTGACACTGACAGACAAATAGGAGACAGACGAGGGAGAAATTTTGTCGAAGGACGGCTGCTGGAAGGTCCATCGCATGACATCCCGAATGCCACCGCCCTGCTGCAGCTTGAGGTTCTTCGCTACAAGCAGGTCTTGGTTGGGGCAATAGCAGATAGACGAGATTTCTACCATCAGTTTGCAACCACATATGAACGTGCTGCAACTAACACTGTCTTCCCAGAATTCTGTCTTGGAGATTTCAAGGACACGCGAGCCTACCAGAAGTTTCAGGTTGACTTTGGGGCTCCGGTTAAGAAGGACAGAGAAGAGCAAGGAGATTTCTTGGGGGTGCCAAAGCCCCTCCTTGTCCCATGTGATGACAGCCTCCCTGTTTTTGCAGCTTTTGGGGCGCTGTTCCAAGGTGACCATTTGGGCGTCGAGGTGGCTTGCTGTGCTCATGCAACGATGCTTGAGGAAGCCGGTTGTCATCCTAGCTGGAACAGACTTTGCGCATCTCAGTCCATTGTGCACAATTACCCTGTCACAGGCCTGGTTATTGATGACTTCTTTTGTCTATCATCTGAAGGTATTGATGGAGCAGCTGGGGCAGTGTTCAAAGGAGAAAACCGTTCCCTTGAAGCGTTGGCTTGTGCGAAAGAGGCCTATCAGCGTGAGAAGATTCTGGGCTCAGATGACAAGGAGATCTCGAATGCTCTCCTCTACAAAATTATTGGTGCTGAGGTGAACTCTACAGAGGAGGTTGCAAGGCGAGGAATGGTCTCCCTTGGATCACCTGCTCAGAAGCGTTTTGGTCTCATGATGCTCAGTGCCATCGGGGCTAATCTGGCCTACACTACGGATGCCCTGCACTCATCCTTGATTGGCTCCTGGATATCTGTCTTGCTCTATAGACGACCTATGATGGCTCATATGAACAGGCTTTTTGGAGTGATTGATGCTAAGGAGCTCAACCCGGAGGTGCCTGTGCTGAGGCCGCTGTCTCGTGGAGCTGCAGAAGAGATGCTGATATTGGCATGCCTTGGGCCTTTGGCCGCTTCCAACATTGCAGTCCCGTTTTCGGATTCATTGTATGCATCTGATGCCTCCACTTTGAAAGGGGGACTTGTGAAAGCAGAGGTGGGTGAGAGCCTATCTAGAGTGCTTTGGAGGACTGCAAACAAGAATGCCAAGAACCCGCGCCTTCAGAGTCGCACGATGGCTCTACATAGGATTCGCGATGAGAGCTATGAGGAGCTTGATGTTGATGATTTTTGGCCCGAAGATGTGCCTGAGGTGAGTAGGCCAATTGGACTCCGCTTTGGGTTCATTGAAATTTGTGGAGGTGCTGGTGTGGTGACCCGAGCTCTTTGCGAATTGGGAGTTGTCTGTGGACCTGTCCTTGACATCAGCTACTCAAGAAGATATGATATTTGTGACAAAAGAGTCTTCTCATGGCTGGCCTTTATGTGTGAAGAAGGGAGACTAAGATCCTTTCTTGCTGCGCCGCCCTGTACCACTTTCAGTCCAGCTGCTCATCCATGCTTGAGAACGTACAAGCAGCCGCTTGGCCTTGATCCACGACATCCTCGAGTTATCCATGGGAACGACATGGCCTTTTCCTGTTTGGGCTTGCTGATGGTGGCAAAGAGAACACACACACCAGGCATGATGGAGACCCCCAGAAGATCAAAGCTCCGGTGGACCCCTCAGTGGAAAGCGCTTCGCCGATTAGGAGCTGATGAGGTGCATCTTGCCTCCTGTGCTTATGGATCCATCCATCAGAAAGAGTTTGCCCTAATCACTATGAGCATGGACGCTCGAAGGTTGGGCAAGAGATGCTCAAGGGACCACAGGCACATTCGAATTGAAGGCAAGTTTACAAAGCCGAGTGCAACCTATTGTCATGGACTTGCAGTTGCTCTGGCACGGGTCTTTGCAGATCACATCCTGGTTGTTGAGGAGGCTTATGAGGCATTCCAAGAGCCGAGAGGACTTGAAGATGCTCTTTCAAATGAGGTCCTCTTGTCATCTCCCTGGGAGGTCGTTGCAAGCTGGAAATGGAAGGGTTCGGCCCATATCAATTTACTTGAAATGGCTTCGGCACTTCGGGCCTATGAGGCTGAGGCAATCAGAGGAGGAGATTTGAGATTTGTCGAGATGATCGATTCTCATGTCGCCTTATGTGCTCTCACCCGGGGCAGGAGTTCTTCTGGGGCCTTGAGACCTTTGCTGAAGCGAGCAAGCACACTTTTGCTGGCCTATGGTCTCTACCAGGTGGGGAGGTTTGCACCTACACGGATGAATCCAGCGGACTGTCCCACACGAGATCAGCCGTTGCCTGAACCTACCTGCCCAGCTTTCGAGGGAGCCTCTGATGTTGAGCTTAGGTGGATAGCTTCCCTTTCGAAGATGAGGAGATGGATCTCAAACTGGGCTCGCTTATGCCTGCTACTTTGTCCTTCCTGGCTTCAGTTTTTCACTGATACCTCCTCTTGCCGCCGCTATGGGCATCTCACTGCCCTCAGCCTCCCTGATTTCATGGATTTTGATTCGACCCTTGGTTTTCCGGGTGAGGGTTGGTTCAGTCCCCTGGTTGGTCTCATCTTTGTGCTGAGCCGATTAGATGTAGCTGGGGCGGTCGGCGCGAGCCATGGAGATGCTCTCAGGCGAGAGCAACGGGTGGGCATCGAACTGCCGGAAGGGAGAAGAGTGACGCAACTCACTTCGTCCATTCGTGCTCAGTTGGGTGCGGCTTTCAATTGCTGGTTGAGAGAGCAGGGCTTGGACTATGACAGTATTTTTCAAGCTAATCCTCCGGACCTGGACAAGGTAAACCAGATTTTGACCAGGTATGGACGTTTTCTGTTCTCCAGCGGCAAGCCCTACTACCACCTGTCAGAGACCATTAACTTGGTCAGTGCAAGAAGGCCTATACTTCGGAGGTCCCTTCAACAGGCGTGGGACCTGTGTGCCATGTGGAGCTCTTTTGAGCCAGTTGAGCACCACCGAGCAATGCCAGCACAGGTCCTTCTCGGAGTACTGGCAACATGTTTAGTTTGGGGGTGGACTAGAGAAGCTGCATTTTTTGCTATGTGCTGGGGCATGCTGCTCAGGCCGGGAGAGCTGTTGACAGCTTATCGGCGAGACGTGGTTTTTCCTCAGGACGTCAGGTATTCAGTTGACCACGTCTTACTGCGCATACTTGAACCAAAGACCAGGTTCCGTGCAGCTCGCCACCAGTCAAGCAAGCTAGAACCTCCAGACCTGATCTATGTTGCTTGGATGGGAATTGGACGGCTCAAGCCGTATGAAAAGATCTGGCCGAGCTCTCCTTCGACTCTGAGGCGCAGGCTGGATAAGGTCTTGTCCGTCCTAGGCCTACCAACTCGAGTGGAGAACTTCAAGAAGCCGCTCACTCTTGCCTCTTTTCGACCAGGAGGCGCTACTTTTCTGATAGGCTTGACAGAGTCAGCAGAGCTTGTGAGGAGGCGAGGCCGTTGGGTTTCGCTGAAGGTCATGGACATCTATCTCCAGGAGGTGAGTGCAACGACGTTCCTGACTGAATGCTCGAATGAAGCTCAACATAAGATCCTCACTGCGATGGAAAGCTTTCCTGTGGTCCTACAAGAGAGTGGCCGCTTCTTTGAAAGTGAGATACCGGAAAAGGTGTGGAATTTTCTTTTCAAACATGCTGCTCAGGGCGTCGAGACGACAGAAGGCATTGGGCGAGACGGGTCAACAAAGGCAAAATAGTGCCTTCCCACTGTCACACATCGAAG